GCCATATACTAATACTATACACATGTACATAGGCATCCAATTTACCACTACCTTCCCGTCGTGTATCATTACCACGCCTTGTCGTTCTTGGGAGGTTTTGCGTGCGAGTCTTGGAAGGACGTCTAGATTGCTGTTAGAATGATGTGGTACGGTGGGGCAGCTATGCCACCTCAAAATATGCCTTACAAAAAGCAGTTTCTCTGATCGGGGCAGCTATGCCACCTCAAAATATGCCTTAGGGTAAGCAGTTTCTCTGATTGGGGCGGCTATGCCATTCCCAGCTATGCCTTAAGGAAAGCAGTCTCTCTGAATGGGGCGGCTATGCCACTCCAAGTTGTTCATTATCGAGCTTGCCTGTGTAATTGTCATTCACATCTGCTCCATTGTCGAACTTGCATGGAAAATGGTGTCGTTCAATGTTCAATTATTATCTTTAGTTAGTCTATAGGAAACTCAACAGGATTAAGGGAGATCAAGTTCGTGAATGAGTCAATATTGATATAACGGACCTTCGAGTAAAACAAAAAACATTGCGACTAACTGAAAAGATTGATACAAGAGCAGTCTTGACCAGAGAAATATAGGAACAGGGACAGTCCAGCACAGAAGACATCATCACCAATCGACAGTTGCGGGAGGTCAATAACAGTTAGTCTGACTGATCGGATGGGAGACCAACAGCCTCGCGCTGCTTGTCACCCTCTTCTCTGGAAGAGATCACGTTGAAGACGATGAAACCGACAGCAGTCAACAAAACGCCTGATATCAAGATAAGGCGATCACCACTCGCTGTGAGACGCTAAGCCCTCACCTGTCCAGGCTCCGACTGACAGTGTGAGTCCCTTGGCAAACATATCGAATATTAGAGCGACCGGAACACTGGGAACCGTACCTGCAGTCGAATTGATAGAACCCGTGATGGTAGTAATAGAGTCTACCCATTGTAACCCAGAGAGGCGAAAGCATCACAAGACCGGTACTCATAGCGATATTGTATGCCCAATCAGCGAGAGTAACCCAAATCATAGCGGTCACATCAGCGCGGGTGTAAGCTCTAAGAACTTACGATAGTCATCGGTGATGAAAGGTGTGGAGAAACTCACGGTAAATCGTGGTCGTATACTCCTAGTAGGATGGTGCATATGAGGAATATAAGTGCGGGCACAGCACGTAGGGCGAGTAGGAGGAACATACCCTCTATCTGGGACGATAATCTGTTGGAGCCTCCACAAGTGGTTGGTTGCTGCTGAGGACATCTCCGCCATATATCGTCCTCATTGGCATCATCACCGTTTTGGGATATCTTATCGTCGCATATTGGAGCTGCCCATTGAGCATAGAGGACATCAAATAGACCATATAATAGAGTGGCAATAGATACTTCAATACATGACCTCAGACTGTTGGTCATACCATTAGACTCCTTTGTATCTGATTGCTGAGGATCACTTTCTCCACCGTTTACTTGGTCATTTCACTCGCCTGATACTGACATAATGGCGATGCCGAGTACTGCCAGGAGGATGCAGACGAACTTGGAGACGTAGCCCGGTCCGATACCATTCTGGGGAGCACTAGCATTTGGTGATTCCAAGAGTGAACTCTCAAACTTACTATGAAAATATCGATGAAATAGACAACAAGTGGCGTAGTTTGACAGATGATGATATACACTGCAACAGAGATTCCCTGCAACGAGTGATACAACGCCCACATCTGCAGTAGCCACATGAATCCTGAAGAAAATGATGATTACAGAAATAGCCATAACTCACCTAAGACAAGCATGATGTTGTTAACGTGTATGAGATCTGCTCTACTCGGGAGGCTCAGTCCGCGGCATCTCCGTAATAGAGCCCACGGGATTAGGAAAAGGATGTAGGAGCTGCAGACGACCCCGGCGAACTGAGCTGGATGATGAGTGAGGTTGGGAAACGCCTGAGGTCTCCGGATGATTACAGATGGCACCACCATGCGAGCCATACCTGAGCTATCTCCCCTGTGAGGACCCAACAGGTCACAAGGACCAATTCGAGTGTGGTGATGAGTGCTATGCGGCCAATACCTCGGGGCTCTGCATCCTCACTATGTGATGGCTTGTAGGTTGTATCTGGAAAGTTGTTGATATTTGGAACCTCAGTAAGAAGGGACACACCACGATCATCGGTCACGTTCACAAGGAGGGGAATACTCTTATTATCCGATGGCATTTGGTAAGTCTGTATGGGTTCAGGTGACTCCCAATTTGAGCTAGAGGGTATTGCGTTATACCGCAGACTGACGCGGAGTGATTCAACAAGAGACAGAGTACAATAATGCATCTCTGCGAATACTCCTCCCTCGGACCGATCGTCGGCAGTAGCTCGAGGGATTGTTGATTGATATTAATTCTTGCCTTATAAGTGGCGAATGACCATCAAGTGAAGCTAAGACTAACCAGGAGTGTGCCTTGATTTTCCATTCGGTGTTCGAGTTTTGATGTTTCTTCTGATTCCCGTGATGATATCTCCCACCACTATCTGACTTTCAACGCAACGCTAGCAACCGGTTACACGAACATCAAAGCTTCATGCATGACTCAATTAATTACAACACACATTGATATCATTTCCCTCCATCATCCCAGTCTATTCTTTTCCCTCTGAGGGTTTCAATTCCAGCTATACCTGAGGTACCGCGACGACTCTCGAGTTCACTTCTATTCTACGCGGTCCGCCCATTTCCCACATCGTCGTTCGCCGAGGGGACGCTATATTTCCCTACGGCTCGCCGCACCTCCACATTCCCTTCGACCCTCCTAGCCAGCGAATGCGGGTCTACTCTTCCAACACTCGCAATTTTGGGTTCGACCACAGATTGATGTCTCCTTCAATTTTACACGGTAACGGTTTGCTTGTTTCGTAGCCTATATGTGTACTCTCAAATTTAGGTATCTCGGAAATCCAAGTTAGCATAATTGTTCGGTTTACACTGTTATTCTGTGTGCTTTCTCCCACTTACAAAACACAACAGCATTATAATGTAGTCCAGGAGAATCACTATTATTGAACAACTTGTGTTTGATGATAGCAGACTGATGATGATGGTACATAATATCAACTACAAAGTTATAAGTGCGGTGGTCAGCAGTAGACCTACTACTGAATGGGTGAAAATATGCACGCATGAGCACCGATCGACAATATCTCTGCGAAAACTTCTTTCAGGCTTTCACAGAAACAAACACATATGGTTTTAACAACCAACATAATGCTTCCTATTAGTGACAAAATTTTCCCCCTAAATTTGTTGGTGAACCGTGACAGTTTCACACTTGTTAACGATGCAATGACTGGTATGTTACTATTACGGTAGAAGAGTAGAGAGAAAAGGAACGACGAACTGAAAGGGATGAAACACGATATGATGGAGGGTAACAGGAAAATGATCAACAGTTGTTCAATTCTGCGAGGAGCAAAACGAAGCGGTCGTAGCAACAGAACTCGAACTGGCCTTAGGCAAATCCAAAGTGCTCACGTAAACCTGACACACTATAGTTATTCAATTTCCAATTCCTTAACATGACTAACCTCATGTGCCATTGTGACGGCCTTTTGGTAGAGCGGCCGATTGTCACCGAGTAAAGCCAGAGCTTCAGGAATCGAGCACCACAGTCTGTCGCGGAATCGCTCCTGATGAAAATACCGTCTTTACGTCTGATACGGGGTGATCCGGCCGATGTAATTCGCTAAGTATTTTCACGTCACTCTATATTGCGAATATCACGCTTTCACATGGAGTATTACGCCACTTCATGTAAAACGGATAAAACTCCATTTTGGTATATTTCGCATATCTTCCCATTGTAGTGGTGAAACTCACTTCACGCCAGTTGTCCAGGACCTCATCGCATCGACCGTAAAACACACGAGTTGCCTTGGGGCTTCCGCTTTTATCATGCGATTTGACCCAACCTAGGTCACCCAAGACGGCACATACCACACCAGCCTGAACTCATGCAACATTCAATGATGACTCATCATGGCGACACTCACTTCTTCGAGAGTCTCCCGGACAGCTGCGGCTTCAAACGACTGATCGAAACCTTCTACCTTTCCACTAGGGATGGTATGCGTCATCGCTCCATGACGACGAGAATTTACAAGTAGGACAGAATCCCCTAAAATGAATGACAAAAGTTTCACCTCATCTTATTAGAACTTTCTAAAGTCAACCGTGAATAACATCAACATCATGAAAAATCATCTAGACAAAAAGTTATATTGGAAAACAGAAATTTCCAAGAATTTGGTTTTCACTGTTGAATGTATAGCAGAAACTCACCCGCTTCACTCCCTGGAGAAAAATAAAACTTTTTCAATTCTGAGAGTTACACTATACATCACCAACATGATTACAACGTGAATCGACATTGGAAATATATATTAAAAACTATAATTTCTAAGAATTTGGTTTCCAGTGTTGCATCTTTAGGAGAGTAACTCACCGGCCTCGTTGAAAACCACACATCCTGCGCGTTTGCGATACCTGAGATATTAACATTCAAGATGAGCAAATTAGCAATCTGATTTAGTAACTACATAGCAAGCCCACATAGCCATAAGATCGACAATTAGAGTAATTCACGCAGTTTTGGTATCAAATGCCGGTTCATTAGTTACAGAATTAGTGTTGGAGGAATATATGTGTGGGGTTCCTTCACAGCTCAGGCGTTTCCAAGACTACATTATAGAAGTACACGACTTAGAAGTGTACAGTAAGAAACCAACGATAGCTTCATCAACACACGTAGTAGATCGTGATGAATGTGTTGGGAAATATGTTGGCTTTCCTCAACTGAGCTCTGGAATTACCTGTATGGAAGTCTTATACACGAATTCGGGTAGAAGTGTAGAAAAAAAACCAACGGGAATTCCATCAACACACGTAGTTGATCATATGCAAATCCTCCCAAACTGCTACTACTACTAATCATTATTACTCTTGTGTAGGCTTCCAAGATTCGGCTGGGCTGAACCCCGACTGATCCCGCCTCAAACTGCAAGCAGATATAGGATTACTCATATTACTATTCAAATCACAACAACAAACTGAGCAACTTTCAAAATACACGAAAACTCAAAACTCCTTTGAAAACAGTAAAATGTACATAAAACCACAAGCACGCACTCGTAGTGAAAATCGTGAACGTATAGGAGCTCACACCTATAGTAATTACGTCGATGGTAGTTGCTCTTGATTTACCAATGGTGTGGTATGAGAGTTTACCCCAGAATGTAAGAATTCTTTCTCAGCTTCCTCACGACGTCTACAAACACTCGCAGTAGCCGATTCAATATCCTTCTCAAAGGACGGTAAGGAACCACACGCTGCATAGAAAGCACTATGATCGTCAACACCGCATATCGAATCGCAAAAACTACTACTAGAATCACTGCTAGAAAACTCATCCTCGTCATCATCAGTAAAGCCAGCATGAAAAACTACACCTTCTAGAGGGCTTACTTTAGACCAGGCTGAGGAGGGCAGCAAATGCAAGTAACTCGACATACACCCCGAAGTAGCATACAGGTTACTCGGCGGTGGCGAATGCAGCCGCCAACCGTAACAAGTTGAACAAGGACCATCTGGGAATATATCAATACTTTGATTTTCGCACGAGCATACACGCCAACTCCCGAGCTCCTTCACCTGAGCTTGCATGTGCCGAGGCATGAACAAATCGAGAGGTAGATTCTTAGCACCGCAGAGTGGACAGGTTGTTGTTGTTTGCCGCTGTAGACAGTGACGATGGAAATAATGTTTGCAAGGTGTGGTAACAACAGAATCGAGCAATAATGGCTCACAACAAAGCGAGCAAAATTGGCTATACATGGCCTCAGCCGAATTGCCAGTCCACGCCGCATTCTGCTGTGAACTCTTTTCAGAGGAAACACTATCTTCAGCACTCTTATGGGAAGTCGCTGGCAACGTGGAGAAGAAAGAGCTCGAACTGGGCTCACTAGACTGGACTTGTTCATTCTTCGGTGGATCTTCTACTTCCACATATTTCGCCATTCTCAACAACATGTTAGTCGTCGAGTTGCTATTCGTATCGGTCTTGAAGTTTACCGTAGGATCAAGAGGCTGTTCACGACGGCAAATCGGGCAGCGGTCGAATCTGTATTCTCCAGGGGCGAACGCGATGGGGCCCAGGACGAAACATTTCCAACAGAAGCGATGTTCACAAGTTGAGAGCTCAACCACATCACTGCATTTTTCGAGGCAGATCGGACATCGCTCGTCTCTGAACATTCCAACAGGACAATCATCGTCCTCGGCCAAGACCAACTGGGAAGGTAACTTCTCGGGTCCCAACTCGTGGAGTCTTTCGCGACAAAGAGCGTTCGAAAGGGACTCTATGGACGCCTGCAAGGGAAGAAGGAAAGAATAAAACAAGAGATAGAAGTAGTTATAGTAGTGATTATAGTAGTAGTTATAGTAGTGATTATAGTAGTAGTTATAGTAGTGATTATAGTAGTAGTTATAGTAGTGATTATAGTAGTAGTTATAGTAGTAGTAGTTATAGTAATAGTTATAGTAGTATTAGTCTTACTTGTAGTTCCGCAAAATCGGTCCCGGTGAAAAATTTTTGTCGACGAAGCCAACGGGAGCGCTCCTCGTCCATATCAATGCTGCTGTCTTGACGATCGCCTTGGGGGTCCGAGGTGGCCCTGATGGTAAGATACAGAATAGTAGGTTAGGAAAGGTAAGATACAGAATAGTAGGTTAGGAAAGGTAAGATACAGAATAGTAGGTTAGGAAAGGTAAGATACAGAATAGTAGGTTAGGAAAGGTAAGATACAGAATAGTAGGTTAGGAAAGGTAAGATACAGAATAGTAGGTTAGGAAAGGTAAGATACAGAATAGTAGGTTAGGAAAGGTAAGATACAGAATAGTAGGTTAGGAAAGGTAAGATACAGAATAGTAGGTTAGGAAAGGTAAGATACAGAATAGTAGGTTAGGAAAGGTAAGATACAGAATAGTAGGTTAGGAAAGGTAAGATACAGAATAGTAGGTTAGGAAAGGTAAGATACAGAATAGTAGGTTGGGAAAGGTAAGATACAGAATAGTAGGTTAGGGAAGGTAAGATACTCACCTTAATTTATTCCGCTTCTTTAGAATCTTGACAACACCAACTGCATTCCAAACTGCAAATTTCCTCAATTCGTCAACTGAGCGACTTAAACTCATCAAACGTCTCAAGCGTTCAGATGAAGATACTCCTTCTGAAAAGGAAATATATTTCCCCAACCTTTCTATAAGTCCTCATCAGCCTACGTGAACCTTCTGAACTTAACGCTGTGATTTCATCTTGTAATTTATTAGCATGTTCGCTGAATGATATGTTCACCTCATCAATCTGACATGATCCGTATCTTACCAACTTGAACCTAAGATACGCCGCCCACCTCATCCTCGAGCATCTTCTCAAAGGACTTCTGATTAGGGTGATGGTCATAAGCAGCTCTACTGCTGCCATCGGCCTGTGTGCTCCTAGTAGACCTCTTAAGAATCTTCTTCAGAAGCTTGTATCTGACCTCATCCGTATCTTACCAAGGCAACCTCGAAAATATCTTTACTGTAAGTAGTGGAGATCCGTCCGTTGGGCCTGCTGAAGTGATATGTTCTTCCCAAACTTCATTCTTGCTGAGACTAATGACTGTTAGTGTTGGCAAAATACAGGTCATGAATCGCTTCGCTCCGCTAAGACTTTACAAAATCTCTATCATGAATCGCTTCGCTCCGCTAAGAGCGATCAACACACGTAGTTGAGTTGAGTTGAGTGTGTTGGAAAATATGTTGGCTTTCCTCAACTGAGCTCTAAAATGACCTCACCTGTATGGAAGTCTTATGCGAATTCGGGTAGAAGTGTACAAAAAACGAGAATCTCCCAAAATTTCCTCAAAATTTTCATATTGTCACCAACATGTGTAAACGCCAAAGTGCATATTTTCCAACACTAATCGTGACGTAGTTCGTCATTTGAATTTCCCCAACTAGGGTTGGAAAAATATACGTTTGTTTTTCTCAACTGTAACTCAGTTTAGGAGTTTTCCAAACTACATTATAGAAATACACGACTTAGAAGTGTACAGACGAAATTTTTGACGGAAATTTCGGAAATTTTTCATCAAAATTTCCAATTTACCAGAAACCAGCGATAATTCCTTCATTGTCATCAATACTCAAGGCATGTGCACGTGATATGAGTATTTCGCACTCCCCCACTACTACATTGGAAGATATACTCCGAAACTCCCGTGCATGCTGGTATGAATATTTTTCATTACGGAGTTGACACGCTCTCGCCTCTCCCATTTGACACGCTCTGTGTTGTTTGTTATGTCATAATTGGCTAGGAAAACAGAATAGAAGGTGTTGGTGGTTTTTCTGTCCGGTAGGTAGTAAGGGTATTAGTGAAGTGGTATAAGGCACAGATGTAATCAGTGCTGCAAAATATGTACTCGCTTTCCTCAGCTGAGCTCAATAGTCTCCTCACTAATCGTAGGAGTTCATATACGAATCGAGAAAAAATACGAGAAGTGGACAGAAACTAACAGAAATTCTCCAAATTTTCCTCAAAGTTGTGATATTGTTACCAACACTTGTGGTTGATCATGTGCAAATTTTACCACACTGGATGTGATGGTGATAGGTGTGAGAGTTAGTCCAGATGGGGATGGTTGATGGTTAGTATTCTCAAGGTCCCTGGTTCGACTCTTGGGGGTAGTATTATGTCCAGATGAGATGTTGATTGCAGGAGTGGGGGAAAATATGCACATGCACGTCGAGGTGTCAGTGATAACATGAAAATTCTGGTAGATGCTCATTGATTTCCGTACATTCGTGTGTATATTTCTATAATAATTAGTGAGGAAAGCGAACAAATATATTCCTACTCCGACACTGATAAAACTGAAAGGGTTTTTGAACTCTGTTTAGGAGGCGGGCATATATTTCGGTGGCTTTTGTCTGGTTGTCAAATTTCTCACTGACACTAGGAGTTTATGAAAGATGTAAAAAGTGGATCCAGCAGTGGTATCTTCAGGGTCTTTCGATGAGGATTCAAAATAGGTCCGAAAATGGGCGATACAGACGGCGTGAAAGCATGCGTCACTGTGGACTTTGATTTTTCACTCCGTTAAAATGCCACGGGAAGATTTGGTTCGCTTCTGTATTCCGTGGTAATTCAACACATCAGGGCGGCTGATGATTGGGCAAAGGAGTGGTATCATTTTGAGACCAGACGAACAGATGCAGGTAGTGGTGTTACAGATCCGCTCTCTCGCCTCCTGTAGAGGCCTTGACGTTATTACAGACAACGATGGGCATTCAGTCGAGCTTGATAAGGCAGCTGAAGTTGGGCATGCTGGGTAGGACTTTCAGGAAAGCATGCTGTTCGTCACTACGATGATCGGGGGAGTTTCCACGGAGCAATGCAGGTATGAATTGATCGAGCTGGGCGAGAAGGATTTCTAAGGCGTCATCATGTATGTAGATGTAACTACCTCGACGGATATTTGATGGAGAGGCTCGGGAGTGATGCTAAGCAGGTCGACGAGCAGGCGGTGACTTGGCACTTGGAGGCTCATCGGTAGGTCGGGGAATGTATCGATAGGTTGAGGAGAGCGATCGATTTCAGGCCAGGGTTTGCTTGGGTGATTACGACTAAGCGTTTGAGGGAAGGGGAGTCTTCATTGAGAGTGGCTGTGCATGCATTAGTGGTTAGTGTTTCCTCGATTGGTAAATTATTTACGGTAAAAGTTGCGTTTGATCGCGCCGAGGATAAATGGTTGCGTAAATGAGTGCTGTGGGGTTCGAACCCACGCGAACCGTGTTCATTGGATCTTAAGTCCAACCCCTTAACCACTCGGGCAAACACTCGCATAAATTTTGAGTTAGTCATTAGGCCTCTTCTTCTTTGACAAACCTTGTTCTCAGCTTATTTTCTTTTGCAACCATGACTGTTAAGCTAACCCGATCAGCTTCTAACAAGTGTGACAGTACATCTGCTATTACAACTGCTTCTGACGTCTCCGTGGAATCTTGCACTAGAGTCCAGAAGGCCTCGGGGGGCAGCAGTAAAAATAAACGTCACTTGCTGTTAAGACGGGTCACCAGTGATGTGAACTCTGATTCTTTCTGGCTCATCGAGAGAGAGATCTCCGAAGACGCGCCCTATGCCGGCATGCTCATCGTCCTCATACCAGGAAACCCGGCGGTTGTGTCTGTCTACCGCGAGTTTGCTATGATGCTGGTAACCAAGCTCAAGGGGGCTGAGGTTCTGGTGGAAGGGCATGCAGGACACTCCCAACACAGTCAGCAACAGTTCACCACCCTTCAGGAGCAAGTGGCTCACCACGTTAGACTTCTTTCTAGACGCATCGATCCCACCAAGCATGAGAGAGTCTTGCTACTAGGACATTCAATTGGTGCATTTATTCTCCTCGCTTTTCTCCAACGAATCTGCCACAACTTCCCAACGGTGAAGTTTCAAGTAGGTTTGCTAGCCCCTACTATCTGCAGATTCTCCAACTACAACTCACTGCGCTATTACACTCGTCCTGGTCTCGCAGTGCTAGCTTGGTTTCGTCCTATACTGAGTTGTCTCTTGGCTCTTGTGCCAGCAACTGTCCCAATGCGAGATGCTGGTCGGGAGATTTGTCGTGGTAGATTTCTACGTAACGTTGAACGGATGCTCTCGTGGGAGCTCCAAGAGATGCCACTTGAGCCCAATGTTAACGTTTTGATGAGAGTAGAGGGAGCGTTCTGCATTCACGTTACCATTGACAAATACACCAATAGCGATCTGAGGGCTAAAGTCCAGAAGAAGTTTATGGCTAGCATGCCTGAGGGCTGCGGTCAGGTTCGCACCATTGAGGCCCATCACAACTTTCTTGATGAGGAGGATGTCCCAAAAATGGTTGACGCTATCGCTTCTTGTGTTGAAGCATAAGTGTTGACACTTTCCCTCACAAAAGTTTCGGTTTGCGTTGGCTAGTAGTACAGAGAATCAACAGAAACGCGCATTCATGTGATCGTTATATTGCGTCGTATTTCATCGTTATTTACGTCATTTCTAGTGACGGAAATGCTCAGTAGATTTATAATTAATGTCGTCGTATAATGGAAATGTCCCCCTACTTGCAGAAGACCGTATAAAAGGTAGAGTATAAAGACCAACTACGCTGTATATCACATAGTCACCATAGGTCCCATCACAACAGTCAGATCAACAAGGAGATCTCCATTTCTTCTGATGATGGTGGTAGAGGTTGTCCTAGTCGCAAGCTGGGTCCTTATGGGGGAGATTACCCAGGTAAGCGGATGCCATTGATTCTCAGTAAAATGATGACGGCATTCAGGCCTTCCCCAATCTGACACATTATCCCGCGATGTTTGCGGGACTGTCGTGTGCCTCCTACATAGTATTCTTAGTCCCATGGGCTCTTCTACGAAGTAGTCGTGGACTGAGAGCTCCGAGCAAGGCATCGATGATACACATCAACAACATCATGCTCCCTCTAGGTAAGGCCAGCTTGGTAACCTCCTCACTGATCCGGTCTGTGTAGGGGCGATGTGGCTGGTACAGATTTGGTTTTGGTACATGTCATTGGAGGGAATGTCGGTAGCCGTGAATACGATAATCTACCAGACAACTCCACTCGTGGTCTTCTTCTTTGAGCTCTTTATTGTAAGTCTGGGGTGCTCTTCTGAGTTTCATTCTCTTCTCAGAATGGCGTTAGTCCTGGATACGTGCTGAAGTTGGGCTGCATAGTCATAGCAGTGTTGGGCATCATAGTGATGTCCTTTTCAGGTGAGTGAGAGTATTGGCACTAGCTCTCGTTATAGAGTCTTGGTCAGATACAAAGGAGTCTAATGGTATGACCAACAGTCTGAGGTCATGTATTGAAGTATCTATTGCCACTCTATTATATGGTCTATTTGATGTCCTCTATGCTCAATGGGCAGCTCCAATATGCGACGATAAGATATCCCAAAACGGTGATGATGCCAATGAGGACGATATATGGCGGAGATGTCCTCAGCAGCAACCAACCACTTGTGGAGGCTCCAACAGATTATCGTCCCAGATAGAGGGTATGTTCCTCCTACTCGCCCTACGTGCTGTGCCCGCTCTTATATTCCTCATGTGCACCATCCTACTAGGAGTATACGACCACGATTTACCGTAGGCCTGGCTTGCTATGAGTAATAGTATATTCTTGTTATCTCAGGGACTACTCTAAGGGCGACATCTTGGCCATACTGTCAGTGGTCGTTGCCGACTGGTTTTTTAACATCGCTATGTGCATCGGTCTCGTGGAGTTGTCCCCTCTTTGGGTCACGATGGGTAGCTCTTCTGTCGGCCCTGACTTTCCTCATGTAATCGATAGGTACAATTCTCTGCGTCCCGGCTGCTTTGATATTCGACATGCTCGTTAAAGGTCTCGTATTGTCTTTGGGCGCGTGGATCGGTAAGGTTTTGAGGTAGATTTATCCTTGTTCACTATTGTTCCTCTTTAGGGGGTATTCTCACTGCCGTTGGTTTCATCGTCTACAACATCATCACAGCGAGAGCCGATGAACACAACATTGAAAACTCGAATGCTACCTGAGAGATGATTCAACGACGAGTGGTTTGTCGACCACTCGTCCTCCAGAAATTCCTATTCTTTTCATTTCATTTTGTATTATAATTCGTTGGTGTCAGTTTCATAATGATCACAGAGTTGTCATGTAGTGTTTTGAGCAGTAGAGAGCTCAGTAGTCATATTAAGGTATACCATGCAATACCCTCTAACCATATACCGATGATATGTGTTGATAGTCTATTTTATCGGTATCTACAGCATTTCCAGGTCAAATTAATTTAATATAACTGCCGAAGCGGCGACACGATTCCTCGAGTTGTCATTGACCTTCACGACGTGCACGTGGTCATTGGGCGCGCCTTGATTAAATTAAACTCCTGAACTTTCAAATAAACCGGGTATACTATTAATTTTCTTGGTATTTCATTAAAGCCATGGGTAAAACGTTAATTAAAAAGGTAAAACATTAACCAAATGGGTAAAAAACTAATTTGACCGTGAAAAATCTGTAGTGCAATATTTATCCATGCGGAAATCTAACGATATCTGAGTTCTTCAACGAATGCTTGTTCATCTGGGGCCGCTATGCCACTTCTGTGTACCATAACACAACTAATTTCTCCGAGTGGGGCCGCTATGCCACCCCGATATACCACAAAATGATCAACTTCTCTGAGTGGGGCCGGTATGCCAGCCCGATATACCACAAAATGATCAATTTCTCCGAGTGGGGCCGGTATGCCAGCCCTGCATACCATAACACAATCAATTCCTCCAAGATTCCCCTTCCCAATCGACTCTCCATCCGATGATGACCATAAACGCCAAGATCAGTACTTGTGATAGAAGCAGTAGTCAATGCGCTTATTCAAGGGCAACAGTGGCGATACCGGATATATTGTAATCGAAAATGTCTCTACTAGGGTCGTGTAAATGGTCATCTAGATCGTACACATCAACGTAGCGAGAAGCAGATATCATCTCGATCACTTTATCATCTGAAATTGGAAACATTCTGAGATAGCATAGCTGATTTATTTGTCTCACCAGAACCCTCAGGGATTTCAACTGAGCAGTCCGGAGATTCCTTCCGGAGACCATCAGCAGAATAACCGGTCAGTGTCACCTTCTTAGATCTTACTTGCATCTAAGCGGAAGCAGTAGAGTGCACATTCCCTTCTATATCGTGAAGTTCGCTGATTCTTCATTAACAGATATACATTCCTTGAAAACAACAATTAGTACGTATGAGAATGCTAAGTGAGATTTCTGTGTGCAGCACTCCTTCGGCGAGGCGGTTAGGTTTTAGTTTAGGAGCATAGCTGCGGACTCAGTAATACGTCAAGATCAGGTGTATGTATGAGAGGATAAGTTCGCGTCCATATACGTGTACAATATAATCATCTATGAATGGCCATTAACAAATCAGATCAACTCCCCGCATCACTAGCGAGAAGTTTCCCATATTCACCAGTCATATTTTTGCCCAGCATTCACTACCGTATAACAACAACAACGGAGAAAATTCAATTATTCGAGATTGCTTATCGCCCCCATGAACCATCCTACAATATAGACGATAATAGATCCGTATTTACCCAAAACCTCAGCAATTTGTCGTACAACAGGCCCTGGCTTAGCAGAAGAAGTATATCTGAAATTTCTAAATTCACATTCCAAGCGTGAAGAGCTTCCCAGTACACCGCCAAAATTTTGAGCTTTTTCTTATCGCAATAAGTTTCAACCAAGGAAAGCGCCAACTTGATCATCGGCGTGCTCACTATTCCACAATGGAACAACGGCACAGCTTCCTTTATGGTATCTGAGTAGAGTCTATGGGAGAACTACTCTATTGAGACGAATCATACCTTCTGACGAGCCCAGGAGCAGGCCTATAACATCATCTTGTTGATGTCTGAGGAACAGGAACGTTGGAATACGTCGAAAAGTGAAAATACAATTATCGACAGTTTCATTTGATAAGAATATACAATAATAATATTCAAGTTATCATCAATCTAATCGAGTGAGATTGTTGTACATTACAACATGACGACAATTGAGGTACAGTGAATATGCAATATTTAACGATAAGAATAAACAATGATACACAACAAAGATAGATAACCATAGTCGACTTGGATAGAAGTGAAGGAGACGGTTTGTCTCTGTTGCTAGAAAATTCGGGGAAAAAACAACAACAAGTACATTACGAGAATAACGATCGATTCGCATTTCCTTATTGTGATCTCTGCCAATTCATGATGTTTGCTTCACGAATAACTTTGTATGCGTATTAGGAGCCTCATTTAACGGGTCTGCAAGTCTGGTGGAAACTTTGAGAATTTTCTGTACACTTCTACGTGAATTCGTATGTGAACTACTATAATCAGCGAGAAAGCTCTTGAGCTTAGTTGACCGAAGGGGCCCATGGCTGTGCCGTATGTTCCTCCAACACTGGTAAAAATGAGTTTCAATCGGGGACTCCCATCATATTACTTCACTGCGTGCAGCTGAGGCTTCGCATAAGCTTCCAATGTGAAGGTCTGCTTAGTCGGAGACATCTAATCACAATAAAAACTATTTCATACCACTCCATCGCTACTTCAACTCAAGTAGTAGAGAATACTGAAAGTAACAGAACTGCAATTGGACAGAATAATTATCCACTTGATGATGTAACCGACAATTCACTGTTCAGATTTTCCGAACGCTGGTAGTTTCGTCGACCCCATTTGCTTGAGATCCTTCGTGAACTGATCGAAAACACTAGTGTTGAGGTCCTGAAAAAAAGGAAATGTAAAAAATGAATATTTTATAATCGTCATTACTTCACTCCACCACTTTTTGCCGTCTTTCATCTCCGGTGCGAAATAACCGGGACCGCTGACTGGCGAGGAATACCACAACTGAAGGGAATCAAATCTAGTCCTAGTGATAGTTACATGAATTCGAAGTGATAAGTCGAAGCTCTACCGTACATACTAGTGAACTGATTCCGTTCATAATAAGAGTTTATATATATAATATGAAAACACATGCTCAACTGCTATATGGACGATACCTGCTCCTAGCCAAAGATTGAATTGAAAATGGAATGGTATGATAGATCCTCAAGAGGGACATTATTGAAGCCCACTGTAGAACGAATTTCGGAGAATAATATTATCACACAACATGGCACATTTAGTGACAATGCCAAACAACGTATCATTTGACTTCTTCATCGACCTAGCTCTAATTGTGAGCATCCAGACTCCTGCTAAAACACAGCAGCATCACTGACTTGGTGTTAATACCATGATAGGTGTATACGAAGGATGTAATTCAGTGACAATGATGATGATAATAAGGAGTTGAAATGAATGCTCGCTATCATATGATAACAAGAGGCATAGTATTGAATCTTGATTATCGAGAATAGCACAGAATTGTACCACACAGAAATTGAACCAGAGACCTTCCGATCATAATATTCCTACAACCGACCGCTCTACCAGCTGAGCTATTCCACCTATTCCTTATTACCAGCTTGCTGGCATCATGTTTGTTAATGACGAACGTCTGTCCATCATCAGTCTCAACTTCCAACACACCACCATCATGAAGATCCACAGAGGCTATCTTCGAACCTGTTTTGAATCTTTATCGCTCAACCTCAAGATTCATATCTTCCTACCATCCTTATCACAAGCTTGATCAACAGCATCGAATAGAGTGTCCAACACTCCTTCAGCTCGAGAGTCGTACTCGTCGCCATCCATCTCAATAGCACCGACGGGGGTTACCTGCTCATGAATTGTAGGATGGATGGTATTAAACAATACAACATTACCGATCCATGATGCCTCTCTGTAGCGAACAACCTCGTCACGACAGCTCGGGAAGCTACAGGAGTGATGGACCGAGTGAAGACTCTCGAGGCTGACTGCTGAACTAGACTTGCAAACATAATTGTTATTATTATACCAACAAAAAACAGTAACTGTGAGTAACGTGGATAATATACATCAAATCTTCACTTTCCTCACCTGAGCTCAACAATTTTCTCACTAATCATAAAGACTCTGGTAGAAGTGCACACACGTCAATGAGAATTTCCTCATAATTTTCATATTGTCATCATCATCACCAACACATGTAGTTGATGACCATGTGCATATTCCCCCACAATGTAAGTTGATATTGATAAAAATTTTCAATGCTCATGCACTCAAGAAACCGCATCAAAAACGCACGGGCAGCACCATCACCATGTTATGCACACTATGGGGGAGGAAATATGCATACATGTTGTTGATGTCAATATGAAAATTATGAGGAAATTCTTTGTTGATTTCTGTACACTTCTACTCCACTTCATATAGACATTCGAAGAGTGATATCAATAACGACTCTTCCTCAAACACTAATTTTAGCGCATATAATCAGCTCATGCCTACGAACATGTTGTTCATTAACACAGCTATTCTATATACAGTGTAGGAGGAATGTGTGTTAGTTTAGTGGAGTTTCACGGCCACCCTAGTGAAGAATATATTTCACGACTACTGCACATCACCGCAAATATCGCGTTTTTCACCGAGTTTTACGACGCCACTTCGCGTAAAACGGGTTATTGTGAAACTCCAATGACCACCAAGTTCAGTAGTTTCCAATAATACAAACTTTATCAACAAGAATTTCCCAACAGGATTTTCATGTGCAGATTTCACCACGACTGTTTTACATGGTCAACTTCACAAGCTCAAACTTGGGTTGAATTCTTTGATTAATATTTCTAAGCTGCGTGGATATAATCGTGCGTCAAAATGTCACATTTTCAATTTTTTCCACAAATTCTTATCACATACAGCGTTCGATAGACAGGATTTGCTTTTGCATCTAAAACTCGAACCTGTGAGCGCTCTTGAAAGGTCTATAGGACACTCCGATACTCTCAAACCTCAAATAAACATGCGCTTACTATTCACTACATCTCCCAAGACGCATTAAAACTGTTTTAATAAAACACTGCAGTTGAGCACGAGCAGACTTCCACACGATTCACATTATCACTATTACCAACAGTGTGGGGGGGGAATATGCAATATGAAAATTCTGATGAAATTTTGGGAGATTATCGGTGATTTCTGAAAACTGCTATCCTAGTTCGTATGCAACTTCTACTACAAATGAGGGAGCTCTCAAGCTGAACATACTTCTTAAATGTGGTGATAGAATTATGCACAAAGTCTGAGATGGTATATTATACAAGTCACAAGTGAAATGTCCGCCATCAACAGCCTCAAGCAATACAGCAAATAAATAGAGCCCGCAGAGGGACGGTTAGCGGAACAATTATATCTACCCTCTACCTGGGTGTAGCGTATGGTATCATACTGTATAGCTTGGTACCAGTGCTACCCGGGCGGACAAATGGTACCTAAGGAAACCATAAACAATAGTACTATTGTTTATGTGATATTGTTTTGGTATCATCATCATACAGGGTATTAGCTATACTACAGTGCGAAGGTTAAGGAGTTCCAGGATGAGACTATATAAGACATGTTCAATAGACCTCTTCTACTAAGAGCTACTAAGAGCGCTCCCTAGATAGGGATTTACCTGTAAAAGTCAATCCCAGGGGCGCTTTTGGAGCTCAGGAGAGGTCTATTGAACACTCCGATGGATTCACTGTAGTACTAGGCTAACTACTAATAAGGCGTAGACGAGAATTTGTGGCGAGCGAGAATTCTTTTGTGGCGGCAGAGGGGAAAGAATTAGTGGCAGGAATAAGGATAAAGGATCACGGCCACCTTGGATCTCAGTCAGAACCCTGTCAGGGTTTCATGTCCAATTCGCTTACCTTCCGAAAGTGTTCGCGCACGCCATTGTAATCGATTTCTGCCGAAGGCATCATGCGCCCACTAAAATCGGTAGACCCGTCTGGTTGAGATATGATCACTGCTGAGGTAGCTAATATCAAAAAGCCCTCTGCTGAGGGGTTCCCTGAGGTTACCTCCTCTGAGAAGGAGAATGACTATTACGACCTGTACACCTTTTCAACCTCTACTTTAGTATTAAAAAATTCAATTTCACAAGGCGAGCGAGTTCGTGTCCCAAGATACCCCTATCGAAACTCCAATTTCGACGGTGCGCGCTTTAGGGAACTCCAATTTCGTCAACATAACGGTTTAGGAATTTCAATTTCGTTGGCGCGTCGATTTAGGAACTCCAATTTCGACAAAGAAATTTAGGAACTTCGATTTCGAAATAATAATAACTTCTTTTTCGCACATAGGAACATCAATTCCGGTAGAACTTCTACCGTAGAAGTCTGTGATCGAAATGCAGCAATCCTATCACTGAGGACATTCACTGACATTCGCGATGGTAGAATACATCGCATCAGCTGGAAGACATCCAGCGGCCTTTCGTCTTGGGTATGATCTGTTAGTGGAACGACAACTGGTATCCTCCGTGCTTTTCGTTCAGAAAAATCCTTGATCAGGTCGCTGCAGTCAAAACTATAATAGTTTAACTATTAACCACCTGAGATGCCATCTCACTGAGATGACTCAGTCGAAGACTTCGACTGAGATGATCTCAGTCGAAGACTTCGACTGAGATGATCTCAGTCGAAGTCTGCGACTCAGAAAGCTTACTGCAGGCTGCAGTCTGCAGCAGCTACACATTGTTTTCTAGTCTCCTCTTCTCTCAATTTCACGATCGTGCGCTTCTGAGCTCCACTCAAGTATCTGCGGTCATCAGACACTGTGTATCAACGACAAAGTAGCTACAGAAATCGTAGCTATCAATAGCTTTCATCGATGAGCCGACGTTACGTCGGCTCATTATGAATGAATTTTGCATGAATACGTCGGCGACGTATCAATTCTATGAATAATGTAAACAAAAGCACGATACAAGAAGATTGCATGTACATTTTAAACATCCCAGCGGAACGGCGGGCCCCCCTGTGACCCCCGGCCGGGCGGGTCTCCGAAAAAGTTTTTCAAATGTTTCACCCTAGTTGCGGACGTAGATGGGATCCATTCTATATCGCGTTGTGTGGCACAGATTGTGTCGCACGAAGCGCATACGTATACTGTGCCGGGAAAAAAGATCGAACAACCGAGAAAATCGTGGATTTTCGGTTTCGATCGGTAGATGAATCGCGCCGGTTCGGTCAGTAAACCGATCAAAACCGAATTGAAACCGTTGATTTTCTTTTGATGATTTCGGTTGCCGAGACTTGCTGCCGCGAGCCAGCAGGTGCGCACGAACCGTGAGACAAAAACGTGGCACTTGGCTCTGTTGAGATCCAAAATATTGACCAAAATGCGTTCTCCTATGCCCGTTAGACTGCACGTCTTGGTCTATGTATTTCACGTGTTGAAGGTCGCCCGGGGAGAAACTCTCAAGCTCGATGTCGAGTACGGACATATGCCTACCTATGGCTTTGGATTGTTTCATACTCTAGTCGACCCGAATGGCCAGAAGCTACATGCTCTCGTTGACACTGGGTCGGGCCCGTTCTTTCTCATCTGGAAGAATTGGTTAGAGAAAGCCAGTGGACGTCCCTGCAGTGATTGGCCGATGGGGTGTTACAAATGTTCGGAGCCTTGCTCTGTGGGTAAACCGACTACAACTATTACTTTCGGTGACGGATACACGGTGAACATTTTTCAGCATAAAGCGAAATTGACGGTGGGTCAGGTGTCGCCGATCCTCACTTTCGGACTGATATTCAACCAGAATCCTCCCGTCAGTGAGGCGCCTCCGACTAACTCGATGGGTCTTGGCTATGATAAAGGTGATGTGAACTTCCCCTCTCTAATGACGCAGTTGCTATCATCAAAAACTGTAACGATGGGTATCTTTGCTCTCTACTTGTATCCTCCCGCTGATCCCTCAGAGCAAACCCTTGATGGAGGCCTACTCCTGGGTGGAGGCGATCCTGCATTATATGTGGGTGGACTGAAGTACGTCGATTTCTCTACGGACAAGCGTTACATGGTAAATCTTGATAAGCTACAAGTCGGTGATGGACATCTAACTCTTAACATCAATATGAACTTACACCTCGACACCGGCGCCAACTTCCTATTCGTCCCACAATTATACTATGACGATCTCATTAAGGATATCAAAACTCAAACTGACGAGGCTGCGGGTATGCATGTCGACTTCAAGTTCGATCCAGGGAAAAAGATATGGTTCTTCCCTTGCCAACACATGAGCAAGCTGCCACTGTTGAGGTTTGGCTTGGGCCCTAAGGGCATAACTCCATTCACGATGACATACATGAACTATGCCAGGAATAAATCTAATGATTGTTCACTCGTGATCTGGGAGGGCCAAGGGAATATTTGGACTCTCTTCGATCGTATGCTTATCGGTAATTATTTTGAGTTCGACCCTACTTACAAACGAGTCGGAATCGGGAAGTTGAAATCGCGATCTCTGTGAACCATTCTCTTCTTTTGTGGTCTTCTTTTGAATCTACGGTCCACGGCAGCACGCCCTCCATTATGGTTGGCCATTCCATGACTGCTCCGTGGAAAGAGCTTTAGCTGGATTCGCCATTATAGTAGCGTGGTGCTACATCTCTTATTTAGAGGAATGCTATTTGGCGAATAACTCGTTTCATTGAGATATTATTCTTCGGCTAATGAGCCCGTTATGTCAGCAGATTAGGATTTAACTTACACGTATTTAAATATTGGAGCTTCTTGAGTTTATCATGAGTGCATCATATTGCCGAACAAGGATCTACATTTGACCGCTAATTTAGCGGTAATCACTGGAGTTTAAAACTCCAGTGATGAGCTCCAAAGTGAACATGCTGTGATGCCGTGATGTCATCACGGTGATGATCCTACCATGCAGCTGCCGCGGATACGCTTCACTCGGGCAATATCACCATATTAAATATGGCATACTTTGATAGCTTCTATGTGCAAGATGG